ACAGCAGCCTGCAGAACGGGACCTGGGGGTTCTGATCCCCACCACGGCCCTACCAACCCGCCGGCACCGCCCGCCTGTAGCTCCGCGCTGGCACCGCTCGGCATCGCTACCAGCGGCGGTATCGCTCCGCCACCGGGAGGCCGCCCAGCGCCCCGCCCCGGCCCGCCTCTATGGTCCCGCCGAGGGATAGAGCGCCCTCTGGGGCAGGACCGGAAGTTCCGCTGTCCCAGCACGTCGCGCGCGCTCCTTCTTTCCGGTGCGGCGCCGGCGGTGCGGCTGCAGGTTGGTGCTGGGTTGGAGCGTCCGGGATCCGCGGCCATCTGCGGCCGGTGAGGGCCGGGGCCGCGATCCGCGCCCGTGGGGGTCGGGACGGGGTCCGCAGCGAGGCGGGGATCGGGGCCCGCAGCGGGGGCTGGCCGGGCCGCGGCGCAGCGCTGACCGCTCTCTTCCGCAGACATGGCGATCCGCTACCCTATGGCCGTCGGCCTCAACAAGGGCTACAAGGTGACGAAGAACGTGTCCAAGCCCAGGCACTGCCGCCGCCGAGGGGTGAGTGTCGGCTCGGCGCTTCGCCGAGGGTTGGGGCAGGGCTGGGCCCGGCCCGGTGGTCGTGGGTGCAGATGTGCGGGAGCGGCCATTGGCGGTGCTGAGGGCTCCGGGCTGTTTGCTGCGCCGCGTCGTGGGGCTGCAAAGTGCTGAGCGGCACCGAGCTGCCGGGGTTGGGAAACGTGCAGAGGGAAATGCGCAGGAAACTGCGATGGGATGGAGAGGGGCAGGGAGGGGTGCTGGTAGGCGTGGAGGGGCTGCGTAGGTTATGGCAAGGGTGAAATCCATGGAGGTAGTTGTGGAGTGAGAGCAGAATTAGCAGTGGAGCACCCTGTAATGGAAGAATAAGATGGATATGTGTAAATTACAGCTTAAATGCAGTTAGCAAAATAGAAAACGGGCTGGGGGACTTTGGAAGGCCTTCCTGGCACCATGCTTTTATTAATGACAACAGGTGCTTTCCACATTAATGACCACTAATGGGATTCAGTGTGTGTGTGCTGATGAGAGAATTGTTTGCAGCTTCTGTCACCTCTTCACAAAATGCTGTGTTGAGATGTGTTGGAGACGTGCAGCAGTGCACCTGTCCATTTCTTATGGCCCTGTTTTTTGCTACACATGGTGGTGCCTGCAAACATCCAGCATCTCAGGTGCTGTTCGGCTAGAGCAGAGCAGCACATCTCTCTGGAGCACCTCTCTATGAAAGGTTGAGGGAACTGGACTTTTTTAGTTTGGAGAAGGCGGCTCTGGGCCTTCTCTTCATTGTGGCCTTCCAGTATTTGAAAGGAGCATACAAACAGCAGTGGGAACGGCTGTTTACAAGGATGGATAGCGATAGGACAAGGGGGAATGGTTTTAAACTGAGACCTAAAGTGAGACTGAGGGGAAGTTTAGGTTGGATATTAGGAGGAAGTTTTTCACAGAAGGTGGCGACGCACTGGAACAGGTTGCCCAAGGAGGTTGTGGGGCCCTGGGCAGTCTGGTCTAGCATTAGGTGGGATGGTTGGTGGCCCTGCGTGTGGCAGGGGGGTTGGAGATTCGTGATCCTTGAGGTGATTCTGTTGTGGATGCCCCATCCTGCAGGCATTCAAGGCCAGGCTGGATGTGGCTCTGGGCAGCCTGGTCTGGTGGATGATGACCTTGCACATAGCAGGGGGTTGGAACTGGATGATAATTGTGGTCCTTTTCAACCCAGGCCATTCTATGATGATTCTGTGATCTCACCAAGAGTGCAGTGCTGCTGAGCACATACCTGCAGCCTTCCTGTCCTAAGGTGTGCTCATAGCAGAGCTGGTCTGGGGGCTTTAGCCCAGAGTCTGTCACAGCCCTTTGGTTCAGGAAGACAAGTTCTGCCCTTCTACTTCACTGCATACTTCTGTTTTTAATTCCTTAATTGCAGATTGGCACACGCACAGTAATACATCAGCACTCTGACTATGTATTTTCCAAACTTGCATGTGTGGCTTTAAATTTGCATATCGCAGAGGTTCAAAGGGACCTCGAGGGATCATTGAGTCCAACCCCCTGCAAAGCAGTTCCCTACAACAGGTTGCACAGGTCAGCATCCAGTCAGGTCTTTGTATCTCCATAGCCCGCTAGTTCAGTGCCCTGCAGAGCCCATGGAAGGGCTGTGTGGGTCCTGGCCCTTGGCAAGGGGTAGCTTTGGCACACTGGCTGTTTTTCTGCTTATGTTGATTGTGAATGTTGTTTTTCTTTCCCCTTCGAACAGCGCCTGACCAAACACACCAAGTTTGTGCGAGACATGATCAGGGAGGTCTGCGGCTTCGCGCCCTACGAACGCCGTGCTATGGAACTGCTGAAAGTTTCCAAAGATAAACGTGCTCTGAAGTTCATCAAGAAACGGGTGCGTCAACTTGATGCTTTAATGAGGCTGTCAGAAACTCTTTTGTTGAGCTTCCAGTTTTCTGTCCTTTCCTAGGGAAGCTTTGCTCTATTATTATTATTTTTTTTCCAGTTGTTCGGGCAGTTAGTGTCTGATCTGATGGAGGGTGGGAAAGAGGAAGATGGACTTCAATATTGGATTTGGAGAGATACTTTGAGGTCCTGAGTTACAGGAATACAGACTTCCATTGCTCTTCTTGCATTATTTGTGAACTGGTGCTGGGAAGATTAGAGCGATGCTGGCGGAGGCTGGGTGCCATTAACCAGCTGACTTGAAAGAGAGCTCGTTGGAGGCAGCCCTGATGGCTGGGAGCATTCTCTGCCTTGCCCCCCAAAAATCTAGAGTAGAAGCACCACTGAAGCATCATGTGAAGCAGTTCCTGCCGGCCAGCTGAGATTGCTGGGGTTCAAATCTGTGTTTGCTGGGATGGTACTGTCTCATTTGCTTCTCAGGTTAAAGCCGGAAGCCAACCAGCTGCTTTTCTCTGCTGGGCTGCTGCTGACTGTGCTGCTCTGCTCTCTGCAGGTTGGCACTCACATTCGGGCCAAGCGAAAGAGGGAAGAACTCAGCAACGTCCTGGCAGCCATGAGGAAAGCTGCTGCAAAGAAGGATTGAGTTGTACAGCCTGGAGCTCAATAAAGCCCTTTCTCACAAGAGCAGTGTAATGACTCAGTGCTGTACCTGCTTCAGTCCGTTGGGGTTGGGCGGCTCTTGGGGATGCTGAGGGGTTTTGCTGACAATCCCCAAAATACAGCAGTCCAGAATTTGCACCACTGTTTTATTCCCTTCTTCTGCCCATTCTTACAAAGTGGAATTTATGCTCCTTTTAATATTCCCTCCTTGTGCCTGTAGGTAGTAGGAGGGCTTCTGTATCAATAGCTCTGCCTCAGAATTGGTGCTAGAGGAGGAGAAAGTTCCAAAGGGCAGAACAAGCAAGTTCATCAGTACAACTGAAAGAGAGAGAGGGAATGGCTGCCATAAGTGGTGGGCAGCTGGTGCCTGCCTCTTCTGCCACTCCTGTGGCAAAGACAAACGAATCTGCTTTATCTTCATGCTTGCACCCAAATCGTAGAGAGCGAGAGTGCTGCCCCCATTCCCTGCTTTGGTGATGCAGACAGAACTTCGCAAAGTACAGAGCCTACTTTTTCTAGTAAAGCGCAGCACTCCTGCATCAGAAATTAAGGTGACATCCAAAACAAACCCAAACTGGAAGGGGTTAGAGCTGTGCTCTGCCAGTCCTGGGAGCTGCAAGATCCTGTAAAAAAGCCTGTGTGCATCTGTCCCCCAGGGCTGTTGTGGGTATCTGCAAACATCCCAGGACAGCAGCAGGCTGACCAGGGGGTTCATCTGTGTTCTGGGACATCCTTACCTCCTTCACTTCAGCTTGGAGTTGCTCCTGGTCACACCTCACTGAGACATTCTTGAAGAGGAATGCTCCTCCAGCTCCAAACTGAACTGTCTTTCTCAAAACCATCTCCCTACATTCAGCAGCATGTTTTCAAATCAGGAGAGAAATGCAGTCACTAAAAGCTGCTTGAATTTCAGCAGGAAAATTCTTTAGTTCCTGCTAGAGCCCACCTAGCTGAAAGATGGGACAGTGCTGTTCTTCCTGCAGAAGGAATACATTTCAAATGCTCCATGGAATTTTTCTTCCTCTATTTAATAAGTCCTATTCAAACTCAATTTCTCTAAAGCTCACCCTAAGGTGAAGTACTCAAATTCTCAAGCCCAAGCCTGTGTTTATTGACATACCACAACAGTCACACTAACACATTTCATTCATTTTTTCACTCAGTGAACATAATCCAGCTGCTGCAGTGGTGAAGAGTCAATAGTGGTGTGCAGAACTAACTGCTGGTACTGAGCAGGCTGCTCTTTTGTCCCAGTGTGCTCCCTTTAAGCTTAGAGTTACACTGGAAGAGGAGATCCATGTCCCTCTGCAACACGATGTGCTAGCTCTGCTTCTATGTCCCACAAGAATTCCAGCATTCCCCAACAAGGCAAGGAGATGTTCCTGGGAACTCCTCATCCACCAGTACAGTGTTCCATTTGTGTTCATACTCCTTAAGCAGATATCTGGTGTACAGTGAAATAACTATAAAATCTCCTTGGAGCGTAAGAGGCTGAAGTAGCTCCATTGCTGGTGGCTGATAACATGCACATTCCTCTGGTAAAATCTCACAACTTAATTTTATTGGAAATACTTAAGTTGGATCATAATTCAATATTAAAGGGGGAAAAATACATCATTCGACCAAAGCCCTCACTCACTTCAGCAGCTGCGCAGCAGCAATAGCTCTATGTCCCACATCAGGATCAGCCCATGTCAGGGCAGAGCACTGAGGGACAAACTGCCCTCCAGGCCCCAAGTGTTGGGCATCATCCTGCAGCCAAATCCTGTTTTGAAAATGCTATATCGAATACCTCCTTGTAGTGCTCAACAAAATGCACTTCCAGTCCTTCTGTGATGAATCCAGCAAGGTCGTAATAATCCTTTTTATTCTCTGATGGCAAAATGATGCAGGTAACGCCTGCCCTCTTCGCCTATGGGGAGAAAGAAAGTTATGTTGTCTGTATATTTAGTCCTAGAAATCCATCAATCCACTAGGAACAGAGATTCTTTCCCATTCTGGAAAGTAAGAGCAAGCAGACTTGTTTAGGAGCACCATCTGGCTTTACTCTTTTCTACAAAGGGCAGTCAGGGCATTGCAGCCATCAGGCTCCCCCCCAACCCCAGGGCACACGCAGCAGCTGCACGGACTGCGAGATTTGTTAGCAGAATGGTGACAGCACACCTGGGGGCTGCTGTGCCAATTCATAATGTTTTACAGAGAAAGCTCACAGTGATGAAATGCAAGGTATTCAAAGTTCTAAATCCCCTCCATTCTAGATCAGAAAAATATGGCAAGCAGCCTTGGTTTTCACCTCCTTCCTCATACCCGGAGACACCAGCAAGATGCCCACACCCACCCAGCAGGTTTTCCACAGCACATTACTGCCCCTCTCTGCCACTATAGGAGCAACCTGCTTGGCTGTCCCTGTCACCCCAAGACAAATGTCGGCCTCTGCCCACATGAGCTCTTACTGCAATCGTCTTTTCCTTGATTCCACCCACAGGAAGAATTTTCCCAGTTAAGGACACCTCTCCAGTCATGGCCACGTTCTGCCTCACTGGGCAATTCATGGCCAGTGACAGCAGTGCTGTTACTATGGTACATCCTGCACTTGGTCCATCCTTTGGTGTTGCTCCCTGTCAAAAAAAAAAAAAAAAAAAAAAATCATATTTTTAACCCATCTGCAGACCAGCAAAGCCAGACAATACCTTTGTCCACTGCTGTTTTAACATGGCAGCATTTTCAGAGGATCTTGTACTTAACTGCATAAAGGTTTTGGGGAAAGTGCTATTTGAATTGTCACATCCAGTGACACCGTGTCACTCCTCATCTTATTCAAAAAAATATAATAAGTCTACAGTTTGATTTCTGGCCCAATGCATCTGTGATATTCATTCGTCAAGCTCAGGATTTTGAATAATCAATTTAAGCAAAAAATGAGCATCAAGACCTTCAAACTTTTTGTTGGCCTAAGCCAATCATGGGAACAAGAAGCAGTATTTCAAGGATAGATAGCATAAAGAATCACAAAGTAGTGGAGAGCAATACTGAAAACTATTCAAGGCAGAAAATACTGCTTAGTTTAGAAACCCAACAAAACCCAGGCCTCAGCTAGTGACAAGTCTGCATGGATCTGAGGTCAAACAGATCTTTGAGAAGGAAAAAACAACTGTTTGAGAGGAACAGAGGCAGAAAAAACATCCACTGCTTTCTGATCCTGCAAGAAACCAATTCTCAGGTAACAACCAGGTTCCTGTTGCATTGGAAGAAGCAACAGGGAAAATGTGGACTACATTAAAGCATGACAGCCAAGCAGCCATGCATGTCTCTGAATTCCACATCAGATTACCTCTGGCACGTGCAAGTGGATGTGGGATGACATGAGAAAATCATTGTTGGGCTCCTTCTGCATCAGAAAGGCTCTGGCAAATGTGTAAGCTATTTTGGCACTCTCCTTCATTACGTCCCCCAGCTGCCCTGTCACTTCCAGGGACCCATCCTTGCCCTCCTTGTCTTTGGGTCGCTTCAGGGATGTTTCAACAAACAGAGTGGAACCTCCTGAGAAAGAAAAGAAAAACAACATCCTGAGAAAAGTTAAAGAAAATCAAAGCAGATGGCTTTGGTGAAGCAGACACTATGTGAGGAATTTGAAGTCAGGGCTTTCTGACGAGACAATTGAAGGCTGCTCTCCAAATCCCTTCAGAAAGCTTAGCTTGAAATCTCAACAAGGCTGCACTGATGGTCTCCATTTACTGCTCCTTCAGACCTCACAACCCACCCATAGACACAACCCATATTTAGTGGAAGCAATGTTTTAGTGACTTTAGGCACTTCTTGGCTATAAGATGTGCTCACACCACGCTTGCCAGCTCTACTTCCCAGTGCCAGACATCTATTTAACTGTACAATTATTTCCTTTCTAACCACTTCTAGGACTTCAATTCCACCCGAAGTCAATTCAAATACACAGGGAACACATCCGGACATCTAATTCTTTAATGTGTGCTGTATTTCTCCACAGTAGTGCACATAAGACCCCAAATAAGCAGGGGAGTAATCCAGTGAAGTGTAACTACCACCTTCACTCACTCCAAGACAGTGCTAGAATACCTGCATCTGCCCTTGGCACCGAAAGCCAAGTCCATGGTGACACATCACTGGAAGAGATATAGCACAACTGAGGCACGCTGCAAGTCAGAACACCTCCTTTTAAGGTTTTGTCCTTGCTCTTAGCAAAGATTATGCTTTTAATCACTACCATTGTAATGGATGAGGCTCACATGGAGTACAGCACACGAAGAGAAGTCAAAATCAGCCTGGGCTAATTAAAAAAGGCTCTTTTCTTCAGGAAAGTGGAAGTCAGAATCTAAAAATCCACAGAAGTTACTATTGCTAATGCCAATAGAAGAGCTTCACTGGACTTGGTTAGAGAAATTCAGTTTGACGACTACACTGAGTTTTTGACAGTGACATGAAGATGGAGACACTCTGAGTTTTCCAGCCAGTATTTATCTTTCAGGACCTGCAGCCTCACTCCAACGTAGAAGATTAACAAATTCCCCTGGTAACACACATTAACCCAGAAGTCACTGTGTAACTGCACACTGTGTGCCTGCACAACTCTTACCCATAGCTGTCCAAGCCAGACCCATCACCACTCCCGGAGGAGTGGTTTCATACATTCGATCCACAGTGAAGATGGGCTTTCCTACAAAGTCCTGCAGGTTTTCAGGTGTCACCTGGACCGTCTCTGCTTCTCCACTCACAATTTTATAGGCTGATTTTCTCAGTACCTGTGTGAGACAGGAATTTGTTTCTGCAGAAAGAGCTGAGAATGCTGAAGCAAAGAGGTCATGGTTACACAGTTCTCCCTCACCTTCTCTACTTGTTTCTGTAGATTCCTCACCCCGCTCTCTCTGCAGTACTGCTTGATGAGAACAGTCAATACATCTGATGTGATTTTGGCTTTGTTTTCATCCAGACCACATAGAACTCGTGCCTGAGGGACCAAGTACCTCTGAAAGAGAACATCCACACATCCT